AATTTCAGATATTTTTTCCAGTACGTGTGATGTGAGTGGCAATATACCTTCTATTAAGCGAACTTGCAACAAATATGTGAATTTAAAAATAGACGTTGCATCTGCAGCTATCAAGATTGATTGAAACACTTTGATTCAATCACAACCCGAATGCGGGTGATCGGATCATGGAGGACTGAAAAATACGATCAGTCGATCTCGATTAAACCCGTTGTAAGAAAATGATGTGCAGAATATATAGATATATAATTGCTTACAAAACTAAAAGTATGTAGTTATTATTTTTGATTCGTACACTCAAATTGCAACTACAAATTGGTTTTTGTCTTTCTTGTTCATATTCAGTAGTTACCTTATTTCTTGGGCGCAATCGTTGATTTAGTTAACAAAAATTCTTTTATGTAAAAGCAGCCATTATTAAGGTTAAACAATTAAAATAATCTTGTGTGACAATTACGACTGCACGCACGTTCTAAACCGCACTCACGCAGACTGAGTAAGAAATATCTATGTATGAATGATTAAATTATTAAGTCTCGATCACTTTGCTAATTGGGTCACGATTGACACGGGTAAGAAATGATCGATTCAGAGATGATCTGAGAGGTCTGCAGTGTGTAAAAATACTTAGTTTCAATTTCCGCCATTTAATCAGATAATTAGTTGCTTTAGGTATCACAAATAGCACAACATCATTGAAATTTGAAGCCTGTGATCATATCCTAGATGGCCCCAAACAGTAATCGGAGATCACAAACCCTCACGAAAGAACATAGATTCCTTCAGGGATGATTCGTTATAAATAAATATAATTAACGGTTTCGTGGCACAGTGGCTTAGCAATGAGTTGCAGCGTTAAGGTTCGCAGGTTAGAATCCCGCACGGAACAAGTATTTGTATGGCTTACAAATAATTTTTATGGGTCTGGATATTTGTCCTTGTAAAATCTACTCGTATGTATGTAAACTGCCCCACCAAAATCTTAGTGTGGAGGTAACGTTTTAAAAAATTTAATAACAATAAGCCCGAACCCAAGCACACCACTGCAAAACATCTTTTGAGTAGATTGGATAAGCTCATTTTGAGTAGATTGGACTAAAATTAATGATTATTTATTCATAATTCATAATAATTTATTTGCACAGTAAAATTATTATTAAAATATATCGATTTCTTATATTTACGCGAACACTAAATATTGAATAAAACTACTTTTACGGATTCTATCGCGTTTAATTATAGATTAGTGGAGAATATAAAGAAATCAATATTGAATTACATTTAGAAAATAAAAATATTATTAGAAGTACATTTCTAAAGAGGAAAAGTAGTTACATTTAATTGATTCTTGAAGGACGAAGGCATTCTTCGAATTGGTGACGACGCGTAGAGGACTTTTCGTTCCGCTCGCGCTCCATGCCAATGCGTGATATCACTCATCTCGTCATTCTTCTCACACAGATTTGCTCTGCTCTAGCCAGTATACATCCCTATTCACTTCGGTGGATACATCCTGGCTGATAAGCTTATCCTATTCTCTCCTCGTCTGCGAAGATGGATGGATTTTCGCTTTGGTGGATTCCGACACTAAAAATTGTTCTCAATGTTTCAAACATTGTAAACATTGTGGCACTTTTAATGGAACACAAAGTTATTATGTGTCGTTGTTGTCTATAAAATACCGGTTGGACCGAGAGTGAGCAAGAGGTTGCGTCACTCTAGCGGAGCGTCATATCGATGGTGGCGAGGTGGGATTGATGGTGCATCGAGAAACTCTTCCCTTACTCGCTGGTGCAGTATAAAGTTGTTCTGTCTGTTGTAGTGATTCTTCTAGTGTAGGCAAGGAGGATGATGTTGCTGAGAGGCTGCTCTGTGTTACAATGAAATGGGTAGTGTTGCTGTAGGGTTGCATACGTGGGTGTTATCATGTAATTACGTCCCTCACGTTACACTATTGTGTAATTTTTACGGGGACATGTTACGGTATGGTCCAACTCTAACTGCTCTATACTGAATGTATAGTCTAATACGCTGTTTTATTGCTGAAAATGATTAATTGCTTGCAAGACAGCAAATTGAACATCCGCTCTCACATATTTATTATGTTTAACAATTAACCTTTCCTGACGTAATACCATGTGGCATTATCTACCAATCAACCCTGGTTGGCAACGACAATTTTTAGCAGGTGGCATTAAATCACCTAACATGTATGGAATTTTGAAATTTAGTTTTTACGCACATTGAGATATGTGAAAAATTTCAAATTTCGCAGACGTAGATGACGATACAATGGTTTCGTAACAGCTTAGCAGACTTATGATATGATCAATGCGTGTTGTTTAATTTTCTGAAACTCTAATGTTATTAATCTTATTAACCTATAATTCTATACTGACAGTGCCTTATGATTTTTATGTCCGCACATAATTGAACATGTGCCTTCACAAGAATACACAAACAAGTATGAGTTTCTTGAAAGGGTTACGAATATTAATCACGCTTGGTAAATTAGGCGGGTTGTTGAACGCAGAACTGAGATCCTCGCACCGGTAATAACCGTCGCTAGTCTGTGGGATTTAGGTACATTATGTTTAGTTGGATTCAATCATTAGTTATGGCCCTTGTAAAATCCTGGGAATAAGAAAACTTCTAGATACACTACTTCGTAGTTTATTTTATGTTTCTAGGTCAGTTGAAGTCGGAAAAAGGGCCGATATATTGCACTATAATATCAACTTTTAAATATACGATTACTAAATAGTGGCTAGGTTACATATAATTATGCGTGCATTTATTTGGATGAAAATCAATTACGTGATTGGATCATTGGGTTAAAGTTAAAAACGTAAGACATTAGGTTTACTATAAAAAGTAAGGCATTAGTTTTACTAAATGTTACTGTATTAACAGCTCCGTTTGTTCATCAGACAATTGCAATTCTTGCAGGTAAAGTTAATGTCTAAAGAAAAAGTTGTTTTTCCCTCTTACATCTTTCACAGTATATCATGGTATAAGATCATTAAAATAATGTCAAATCGGAAGTGAAAAAAATCTTCCAGCACATCGTTAATTTCCTTTTAAGTTATGTGAAGGTACCAAATCCAATTTCAGGTGCCACCGCTGATAAAGATTTTGCATAAATCAGAGATATAATCCAATATTACCGCGTTTTAGCCTCCTCCACGCCTAATGTTCCACCATTGAAATCTCTATTTCAATTTAAATGACTTATTTCATTACCCCGCGTGCGTTCCAATGGATTCTGAGCGAGATCCGTGGCCATAAAATCTGAAATTGATTATAAATTTTAGTAGAATATTATGTAGATTGATATTTTATACCGGTTCTTTATTAGCCTAGAGAAAACCTTCTTTATTCCTCAAAATACCATCTTTTTAATACTAAATCTGTGCTTTTCACGCTGCTAACTTCGTAATCGCTGAATATTATAACTGATCACTATATATACACATATTATTATTTAAATTTAATCTTTCAATTATAAAAGTTAAACTTCTTTATCATCACCTCGTAAGACTTCAATGCTGGACATGAGCCCCTTCCGTCATAGAGAGGATTTGCCTTACTTTGTTGTCCAGACGGATTGACGATTACAGTACGAGACGACTTGTACCTTTGAACCTGCTTTCTGTCACTGATATGAGGTGTTTTACGACTGGTGTTAACGAGATGATTATACTACCTCTATCGGAAGCGTATCGCAAAATCGCCTTATATGACGCCTACGAGACGAAATGGAGTTTCTCGTAAGCCGCCACCACTGCTCTTAACTTTAATATGTTGTCATTATAAAAATAGAGCAATCTATTTTAATGTACCCAAAAAACTATTTGCAAGGATAATATTATGCTTAATATGATGTTATAATCTTTGATGTAACCGGGTTATAATAAAGATAAATCTGATGTCTATTGAATCAAATAATTCAGTTATTATATTATTTTAGTTATTTTTTTTTTAATTTTGCAACAAATGCATTGGTTGCAAGACTACACGTGTTTTAATCCAGTAATTATAATTAAAATCACTAAGAGAGAACCATACATGAAGAAAACAGTTTCTTTTTATTATCCTTATAAAAGATGCATAAATTCTAAAATATATAAAGGTAGTAGTGAATAGTTTATTACTTACTTACTTACTTATCTTCACGCACAATCCCTGACAGGGTAGCCAGAGAGAACAGATCGTCAAGTGTCACGATCCGTACATACCTCTTTCACTTCTTTCAGATTTAATGCCAATTGCTGGCAATAGTTTATTAATTAGTGTAAAACAAAAAAGTAATTTAGCAAGCGACTTATATGAGACGTTAGGTTTATTTACTTCTTATTTACATAGTAGTCATCCATTGAGTTATTGGTTTTTGTATTTAATGCAATACTGCCTATTGGAAATGTTATCGCTTTTTTCTGTCACTTTTACGCTTCACTGGTAACTGGTTTAAAATATAAACCAAAATGGTATTTACATTTTTAAAGATTATCCTTCGTCACCAGAGGTTGTGTTGTGCTTGTTTCCGTATCTCTGATACACATCCAAGGCATACATTCATCTTGTTGCATAAGCCTTTCAATGGACATAGAAATGTTGTAACATAATGTCCAGAGTAATTTATGAATATATTTATGTATTCTTTGTTATGGATTCTTGACTGAAATTGATCTTATCCGGGGCTATAAATAGATAGCTGTAATTCATTTGGTGAAGAGAAAATTTTCAGAAATCGAAAAAAAGTATCAATTTAGTTATAAATATTATAAAAAAATTCCTGTATCAAAGTATAAATTTTAAATGTTACAATTATAAAAAGATCATTATTATTAAATTTTGTGATCACGCACATTGATATTTTTTATAATTATTGATATAATTAACGCTGATAGAATTTTGTATTGTTTCAGATGGAAAACTTAATATCTAAATTACACGTACCGTAAGATACGTGTGTCAAAAATGAATAAATAATATCGATCATGGACAAAACGACCAAGAAAAAAAATAATACAAATGGAAAATATAAGAAAAATTGTAAAACGCAGACATATGACGAGGTCGTTTCTTGCTGCTTTTGCTTCAAGACCAAAAAGAGTGAAAAGAAAGGTTTAATAACGGGATGTATTACGAATTTAGGAATATTTGCAATACTACTAATTTATACATTATTGGGAGCTTTCATTTTTCTGGCAATAGAAGGTACTGCTGCCAAAGTTCATCAAAAAACTCTTGCAGCTACTTCATACCAGGGGAATGAAAATCAGAAATCTATCCCTCTCTCAAAAGTTAATAAAAGTATTGCACAAGCAAGTGAAGAATTAAGGTCTCAGACAGTAGAAAGTATCTGGGAAATAACTGTATCGTTAAATATACTTTATAAAGAAAATTGGACAAGGCTAGCTGCCCAAGAAATTGCACGATTCCAAGAAAAATTAGTAGCAAGAGTTGCGGCAGATGTCACTGAACAGTATGGTGGAGCTAGAACACTTGAATCTGCACCTGCTTTGATAACAGATGATTATGAATGGAATTTTGCTAAAGCGTTTTTGTATTCGCTGACGGTTTTGACTACCATAGGTAATTTTAACTTAAAACAATATTTTAAAAAATTGCTAGATGTGTTATCATTTTATTAGAATGGCAAATTATTAACTTTTATTTTATAGTAAGTCATAAATATGTTTCAGGTTACGGCAGCGTAGCACCAAAGACATCAATAGGTAAAGCAGTAACTATCGGATATGCTGTTATAGGTATCCCCCTGACGCTTTTATATTTGTCAGTTGTCGGAGCTCTACTTTCAAGATTAGCAAGAAGTGTTTTTACCAAAGCATTATGCTGTTGCCTATGTACGAAATGTGGATATTGTTGCCTTGACGAAGAAACAATGGCTAGTAAAGAGCGAAAAGAAAAAGTTAGAAGGCAAGACGACTTTAGAACACAAACACTGCATTTACAGGAACCTTATTATGTGCGTTCACCTTCAGGTACCATAATATCTGCATCACAAGCCAATAGTGTAAGCACTAACTCTGTTAAAGACAAGACGCAAGGCTTAAGTTTTCTCAGAGATTGCGATTCTATGAGTTGCACTGATACCGATTCAAAAGTTTCTCTTCGCGGATTCTCAATTCTTGCTCCAATTTCTTTATGTCTAGCAGCTATCTTCACATATATATTTTTTGGAGCTTTGGTTTTGTACCAGATGGAGGGTTGGAGTCTAATTGATGGTGTATATTTTTGTTTCATGAGCCTAAGTACTATAGGTTTTGGCCATTTGGCTCCCGGAGTTACACAGAAAAATGGAGCTTCGAGTGGCACGGTATGGTTTTGTTCCATATACATTATGACAGGTTTAGCTCTAACAGCTATGTGCTTCAATGTTCTGCATGATGAAATTGTTCATCGTCTGCGACATCACGATAAGATATTAAAGGTCAATGCTCATAAAATTTTAACACCAGAGTTTTTGCAACGATCTTGACGCAATGAATGTATAAGTTTGATGGATGATATAACAACTAATTCTGAAATCGTAACATTGCCCGAAATGTTACAACATGTATCTAGTTCAAATTGTGATGTAGGAGCATTTCGTAGGTCCGTTTATGTGGTGAAAGAAGAAAAGGAACCAGAAGAAACAGTTCTCATGTAACTTAGACGTTTTTAACATTGTATTGACTATAGACGTTTGCATTTGTAATATTGAATAAATTTGTGAAAATATTTTTATGTAAGTCACTCTTGACTGTCTTAATTTAGGCGTAAATAATAATAATTGGTACTATGAAATATTCGTTTATACTACAAACAATTATTAAATTAATAAGGAAATGACTGAGTTGTTTGATTGTTTACATAGTTCTGAAGTTGTATATGGTCAGATAAACATTTACTGTATGCAAAATATACTATGCATACCTGTAATTATTTAAGACTGTGCCGAGTAAAATAATTCAAAACATTAGTCACGGTTAAGCCGATATATTCAATATTATTACAATAACGAACATAAAAATTATGTAATAAACACAAATATTAATGTGTCTACGATTATACGAAACAAAGTAATCATAAATAAGTTTAATAATATGGAAAAATACTTACAAACCTACAAAATATCATGGCAGTGTTCAGTTGAATTTATTAACGAAATTCAATTCATATTATTCTTAAATACTTAAAGTATAATTCGTATTTAATTTTTTTTTAAATGTTGCCTGGTAATTTAAATGTATAGTATCTCAAATCCACCAAATATTATTTCTATGGAGTATGGACGCACGATGTTGAATATTATATACAACAGGGTAGCATTTCATACGATAATTATTTAGTATTTGTAATATTATTTAAAACGGTGTCTCGATCTTTCTTACATTATTTGTATAATTCTGTCCTTGTCGATTTGTAGTATGGCACATAATAACACGTGCAAAAACAGCGTAGCTGTTTTAAGTATACAACTAATGTCTGTTATTAATTAATATTTTTTCCAAGACAATATTTTTCTAAATATGTATTTTTTCTAAATATCTTTTTCATCGAAACGTATGATATATTTTTATTTCATTTCTTTCAAACCTGCGCACGCTTTGTACTCTCGGCGTAGTCTTAAAATTGTTTAATAAATATTGAATAAGTGAATACTTCATTTAAGGAAAGATCAGTCATGAATAGTACCTATATTTCGAATTTTATTTGTCTTGTGGTTTCTTATTCCTTGTAAAATGAACATTTTTAATGTAAGTAGCGATATCATCCTAAAGGATACGTATGCATATTGTCTCGAAGATATGTAAAATAAATATGTGATAAAATTTTGTTAATTTTTTTCTTCCCCCTCATAAGCGCATCAACATTTAACATATTTGATTACTATACGTTTTTTCAGTCTAGTATTAGTGAAAAAGCTTATTCACATAAGCCACTAAGGTTTGTCTTGTTTGTGTGACTGTGCTTACTTAATATTATAAAAATGGCTTGAAATTTAATTTAAAAAAGATATATTGCATGTATTAATGTATGAGAGATATTTATTTCGAATGTCGTACATAGTAGTCTTTTAACCTGTATTCAAGATGTTTTAGTTAACGACTACCTGTTTGTAGTTCTTGTTTATTTATGCATAGTGCATTACCACGTGCACGGAAGCAAAGATGATACTTTTCTAAATTTACTGAGTATTTTTTAATTTTGATATTAAATATTTCTCCTGATACTAAGAAAACCACAAGTACAACAATAATTAAAGTGCTAACTACTGATTACATACTTTTTTCTTTTATTGTCTTAATAACTGTCTGCTTTTTTTAACTTAAAAGATCAATCCTACAGCGAATTACCAATATTCTTACACATTTGTCTTTTGAATTTCAAAAGTTGCCTACATGCTGACAAAATTACGTATATAAGTTTGCCTTTACTGGTGTAGCCATCATTACAATTACTATGTTATATCACTAGAAATTATATATACTAATATTATGACTACTTACTTGAATTTCAGTTGGTTAACATAAAACAAAACAAACAATGGTACAAAGCACGTTCTAGCTCCACCATCCTGTATTCATCGTCTTCAGGTCGTCACTCTTTCTAACGGCGGATCTTCACGTTGGCCAACACACTGGCTAATGTGTTGGCCAACAACGATGGCCATCGTGTAGAGCGGGTGTTTAAGCTACGTTGGTACGTATTGGAACGATGGCCCACAAGTTGGCGCGAGATCCGTCTGGTGTCGGTTTTTTACAAAAGATCAAAGGGTTGTGGCAGAGTATTGGCCGCCGCGTCCACACGTTGGCCGCACGTTCAGTTTGCTACAAGTCCCAGAGTGAATGCACGCACCTGACCAATGAAAAAACTTTTCGCTTTATAGAGCCCTACCAAGGCGAAAATTGTTTGTAAAACACAAGTCTTTTTAAAAAAATATTATTATACTGTACTTCTGGATACTGGATTTTCTCCTGTATCGTGGAGGCAGTTTAGAAACATAAATTGCATAAGGACAAACATCCAGACCCGGAGAAATTATGTGCAGGCTATACAAATACTTGTTCCGTGCGGGATTCGAACCCGCGGCGCCCAGGGCAGCAACTCATTGCTAAGCTACTACGCCACGGAGCCGTCAAGAAATAAAATGTCTTTTTTCCATTTCTTTTTGATCACCCTTATCTTATACACATTCACGTTGTAGTGATTGATGTATTAATTTAATTATTGATGTATTAATTGATTTATTAAATATCTTAAAATCTATAATATATAATATATATTAAAATCAAATTAAAAAGTAGGATACTAAAATCATGTTTTTACTGACTTTATTATTCCCTATTAGTTACTTTATTTCGTTAATATTACAGTAATTTTTAGCTATGGAATAGCGAAGTCACCTGTTACAGGCATTATTTTGCTTACTAGGTGACCTCGATCACTGATCATATAATGTAACTTTAATTTTTTTACGAAATAAATTATTTATTATTATTATTAAGTTCGCCATATGTACTACTTTGTGCATGAAAGTGTAAATAAATAAATATATTCTATAATTATATAATAACCCTTTTTAAAAAGGTTTTGTTTAATAAAAATTTACAACAGTTTCATAGACAGGCTTCGAATATTTTCCAGGTCTTAGTTAATTATACCTATGCCTAGGTGTGTTAATGTTTATATAGTTTACTTATCTGTATAACGTTAGTGTATAATAAAGAAATATTAAAAATTATCTTGCGCGCAGACTTGACGACTTCCAGCCTCCCGAACAAGCCGGTTTCCGAAAGGGCTTTAGCACCATAGACCACATACATACCCTTCGGCAAATTGTACAGAAGTCCGAAGAGTACAATTTGCCACTATGTCTGGCGTATGTGGACTATGAGAAAGCCTTTGATTTCGTCGAAATTTGGGCGGTGCTGCAGTCCCTTCAGCGGTGCCAAGTTGACTGTCGGTATATCGAGGTGTTGAAGTGCTTGTACAGTAGGGCTACGATGGCTATCCGAGTACAGAACCAGAGTACGAAACCTATCCAATTGCAGAGAGGTGTAAGACAGGGTGACGTCATATCCCCGAAACTCTTCACCGCTGCATTGGAAGACGTTTTCAAGCTTCTGGACTGGAAAGGATACGGTATCAACATCAATGGCGAGTACATCACTCACCTTCGATTTGTCGACGATATAGTCCTTATGGCAGAATCGCTGGAGGACCTAAGCACTATGCTCAATGACCTCAATAGTGTTTCCCAACGGATAGGTCTTAAGATGAACATGGACAAAACTAAGATCATGTTTAATGTCCATGTCACACCTATGCCGGTAGTTGTTGGGAACACTAAGCTCGAAGTTGTTGACGAGTATGTTTACCTGGGACAAATAGTCCGACTAGGTAAGTCCAACTTCGACCGAGAGGTCAATCGACGGATTCAACTCGGTTGGGCAGCATTCGGGAAATTACGGCACATCTTCTCGTCAGGTATACCTCAAACCTTGAAAACGAGACTGTACACCCAGTGCGTGTTGCCAGTGATGACATACGGAACTGAGACGTGGTCCTTCACTGCTGGCCGTATGAGGAAGCTCAAGGTCGCTCAGCGAGCTATGGAGAGGGCTATGCTCGGAGTTTCTCTGCGTGATAAACTTAGGAATGAGGATATCCGCAGTAGAACCAGAGTAACCGACATAGCCCAACAGATTAGTAAGCTGAAGTGGCAGTGGGCCGGCCATATAGCTCGAAGAACCGACAACCGATGGGGAAGAAAGGTTCTCGAGTGGCAGCCTCGTACCGGTAGGCGAAGTGTAGGGCGTCCCCCCACGAGATGGAGTGACGACCTGGTAAGACATGCAGGAAGTCGATGGATGCAGGTGGCTCAGGACCGTGCTTTGTGGCATTCTTTGGGGGAGGCCTATGTTCAGCAGTGGACTTATGAAGGGCTGTAATGATGATGATGATGATGATATTAAAAATATTAAATATTAAAAATAGTGAAAATTAAATAAAAAATAGTGGTATGCTGTGAATAAATAAACCGCAGCAGCCGTTAGCGCATCAATAATCATTTTAATAAATTCGTCCGCACATTGGCCTGAACCGAACCAAGTGAACGACCTTCCAACGTGTGGACGCGATCACTATTTCTTGGCCAATAACTCTGCCAACACATTCGCCACTATGTTGGCCAACGTGAAGAGGCGCCATAATGGGAAGGCCGTCCTACACTTCGCTTACTGCTAAGAGGCTGCATCTTGAGAAACTTTCTTTCACAACAGCAAACACTTATTCAATAAATTTTTTATCTTTATTTTTATGTAATTAAGATTTTAGTTTGTATATAAGTTATATGAAAAAAGTACCTGTACGTATTGTATTATTAGGACAAACTGAATTCCACGCCAGGAAAGGAATTAGCTTGCTTATAAATTCTCTAAGGGAATACATAAAGGCGTATTTTAGTCCATTTGTAATTTTTGTAATTCGACG